TGGCAGATGGGTCGTAAAAGTTGCACTTGAATCCACAGCAACAACAATTGAAACGTACGCAACGTTCTGTCGATGGGCCTAGGCGCAGGCGCATATAAACTCGTTGTTGTGGTTGCTGTTGTTGTTGCTTCTGCCACTGCCGTAACAGCTGTTTTGGTTGTAGTTAGCATATTTTGGCGTTGCTCGATGAATTTTGTACCGGCGGCGAGTGCTGGTAATGATGATGATGATGACGATGTTGATGTTGATGTTGGTGGTGTTGCTGATACTGTTGCTGTTGTTGCAAATGATGATGCCGCTGATGCTAGTGATGCGGGCGATTCGGACGCTGTTGTCAAATCTAAATCAATGCTTGTTGTTGCAACTTCCATTGGTGATGTATTTGTTGTTGAATTTGTTGTTGCTTTTGAAAAGTGTGATGCTGTTGCAGCTGTGTTAGGTGTTTGTGGCACGTTGCACGTGGCCCAATGCGTCCGCCGTCGACAGCTGCAACACACAGCTGCAGTTGTTGCCACTTCAGAAGTAGGATGCGTGCATTGTTGCATTACCGGCTGCCGCTGCTGTGACTCTGGCGCAGATGTGGCACAACTCGTCAGCTTTGTTGCATACTGCTCGGCTGGTGTGCAACGGTCTTCGCCCAAAAGTGCCGCTCGCTCAGCGCCGCAAGCACACTCGTTTGGTTGCCATCGATGTCCTTGGGTAGCAGCTGCGGTAGGACCAAGTTGACAGTCACACGCTGTTGTTGCACATGTTGGTGTTGCCACTTCCACCACTGCTGCACTAACGATTTGCTGCCGTACGCCAGTGTCGCGCTGACAACAGTTGCTCCGCAAGCTTTGGCCATAGTTGGCTGGCGCTTTCCGCGTGCTGCTGCTGCTGCTGGCTGCCGATGTTGCTGCAAAAGTGCTGCAACAACGCGTGCAACATTCCTCCACTCGCTGACGACAAATGACGCACACATTTTGCCGCGCAGCTGCGCTTTCCTCAGCCAAGGCCGCTTCGGCAGCTGACATTCGCTGTGATGTGGTTGCCGCTACTGTTGCCGCTTCCGTTCCTCTGCCATTCGCTCTGTGATGATCGCTCAGGCGTTCTCCTCCGCCGGTGTCTGTAGCATTTTGCATGCGTTGCGCCGCCGCTGCTGCTGCCGACCGTCGCCGACTACGTAGCGCATAGGTGGCCACCGTTTGGCTTACTGAGCGTGCCACATCGTCGTAACGTTGCCTTTGCACGGCCACGCGGCTGTGGCTGTAGCTGTGGCGTTGTCCGCCTTTATTACTCAATCTCTCGCAATTAACGTCCATTTTCGCTAAACAATTTACGATTAACTTTTGGCATGAGCTTACATTAGTGCGGGATTTCCCCTACGGCAGTCGGTTATTCAGATTCTGGGGAAAACCGCCTTTTCAAGTTTAAAAAATTTATTTTTTTTTTAATTTTTTTCAACCTTTCACTTTGCTGTGGTTATTTTTAGTTATTAATGGGAGGCTCTGTGGTTGGTTTTCTAGGTTGTTGTTGTTGGTTTTTATTTAGCTTTTTGCCTTACGTCATGTTCCGATCGATGGCCTCATTATTTTCCTTGGTTTTGTTATTTGGATGGAATTTGGCATTTTTCGCACAAAATATAAAACTCCGCTGAAAAAAACAGTAAGAAGAAGAAAGAAAAAAACTATTAATAACCAATTCAACTAAGTAGAGCATGGATTTTTTTTTTATTCATATATATGTACTTATTTTTAGTCACTGAGATGTACATGAAATACATATAAATGGTGAATATTATCTTTTTTTTTTGGGTTATTTATATAAAAAAGTAGCTGAGTCATATCGTACCGTAATACGCCTTCTGCCAAGGTACCAAAACACCGGCAACTTTGTTATAAAACAAACATTAATTATGTTGTAGGTATTTACGTTCATTAACCATAGAGTTCAAGAAGACTTGCTTGGCTACCACGCGCACGTTAATTATTTTGCTCACCCATCTGAACCTCCTAATAAATTTTCCAACACGTCCACATAAAATAACCTTATACCGCGTCCGCAGACGACGTGGCCGACGTCATCAAAGCAAGAAACACCCAGCTGGCACAGCTCAAATTGAACTTGGTCATGCGTAGCGTCTGCAATTGGCTACGACCAAAACAGTGATCGTACTGCTCACCCAGAAGTGGATCCCAACAATTATAAACATGATGGTCGGGCCTCAGCTCAGGACAACTTGTAGGTCTACAAAATACCTATTTATGAGGCTAGCCAACAAACTCACATTCTGGGAGCACATTCATGGAGTATATGAAAAAGCCGAGCAGAGCATGGTGATTCTAAGCCGGCTGATGGCGAATGTGAGCGGCCCGAAATCATGCCGTAGGGAGCTTTTGATGGCACCAGTCCAGTCGGTGCTCTTGTACGGAGCAGAAATATGGGCCGATGCATTGAAAGTCAAAGAGTACCGGATTAAAATTTATTCGCTCCAACGCATTGCCTCCGCATACCGTGCAGTGTCCGCAGAATTGAGCAACTTGCCCACGAGCGAAAAGAGATTTACAATCTCAGTGCCGAGATAGGCCGAACAGCTGCCGCGGCAAGGGCACGCGAGCAACTATTACAGCAGCCACAACAGAACTGGTAGCCGACCTTCAGACATGGTTGAAACGACCGCACGGGGAAGTCGATTTCTACCTGACGCAATTCCTTATCGGTGGGAGTTGGGTTTGAGTGGGTAGCCCAACACACGCTTCGGTGGGAGTCCCACACTCGGGGAAGGTAGTTTAGAGACTAGCGCCCCCAGCCAGTGGATAAAGCATTTCATACTGTAAGTTACTGTTAAGTTAAAAGAGAATTGCTTCTCCAATCGGTTCTAAGGTAGATGAAGGGTTGAATAATTCTTCAAGCGTAGTTCGGTTTTCTTA